CGGTCAAATGCTCAGTCGAATTGTCATGTAAAAATTATTTATTTATTTCCACCAGTGTGTGTATATGTAATTATTCTGGAATTCGCACTTGCACGTCCTTTACATTTTTATAACACGTTACATAATACGTTAACGCAGAATATGAAAATAAAATATACTTAATATGGAATTAATAATATCCGCAGTCTAAAAAATAACCAATAAATAAAATGATTTGAAAAATATATGTTTCAACATCTTATCTAAATTGTTATATTTACCTAAAAAAAAATRTTTATATGAAACACAAATTTACATAATATTATAATCATGAGTCCTTTATTGCCGAGAAGTGTAATAGTTCGAGAAACTAAAGATTGAATTGAATTTAAGTTTAACCTGCAAAACCATCCAACCTAACATAATAGAATGCAGAACGCAGACAGTTRAGACGTCGAGTCAATTTTGGCCTCCGTCAAATCGTCTCTGCTCTTTCGTTATTATCATATGGATAATAGCCACCATCTATCACGATGACTTAGACCTAGGCATACCAATTTTAACTCAATTAACCAAAAACCTATTACCTTTTATTTAATTTATAGTTAACCCACATCATCAAAACTTACAATAAGTATAGATTGTTCATTTAGAACCAGTCAATCTCTTTTCATCTAATTATATCTGGCCATTATTTCAAACCTCAAATTACATAAAGCTCTAAAAACTAAAACAATTGTTATTCCAGCTAAGAACTACTACAAAAAATTCTACACCAAATTAATCAACCACACAAGAYCACTATAGAATCAGTGAATTCATCCCAAATAACCTCCTCCCCCACTCAGTCAATTATAAAGACACTAGTTTCGAGATGTTTTTAATCACGATTTGTATTAATTAACTTAAAACTCAAACCCCCCCCCCTCAATTCAGATGGTTTCCACACTGATCGGCTTCCCTTCTAACGTTATTTAATAGGGTTGTTATCTTAGTTAAGCTACCAAACTAATTATTATAAATAAACATTACAAATTTTATATAAACTTTTGTTTATTTGATAATAATAATAATAAGTATTGATGAAATGATGAGGTGTGTTAAATTTTTTATCTGAAATATATTAATAAGATGTTGTTAACTGTAGTGAGTATTTTACATTTTGGCGGAAACGGGTGATYTCCCCCATAATATACTTTCTGGTTTTRAAGACTTATGAAGTCATTACTCCAGCACATTAATAATTCCAAAATGCTGCAATGATATTATAATCTGTATGATAATCACTCGTCTATTCGTCAAGTATTTGGTACAATTTTGAGGGCTTGACATAATTGGTTTTATATTTAACTTATAATGTTTCACTTAAAAAAAAAAAACTTTGTAAATTTAAATGAATATTAAATTAAGACAGTGCGCATACATATTAAGTATATTTCAATGTATTAATGTATTATATTTTTCAGAGTTTCCATTTTATAATCATCCATTTACGAATACAATATTTTTGTTGCATCTAAAAATGAACTGTTGACATCTAAGTTATGATTACATATGATAACTCATAAGATTTAAAATATACATATTTATGCGTATTTGATGAAAAATTAACACGATTATTATTTAAAACAAAACTCATTAATATGCCAATTGGATTAGAAAATAATGTTTCCCTCAACTTGAAATTTGGCAAGTTTCGCATGAAATCTTATAATTTGTTATTCAATATAATATATTCATATTGTCATATTCAAATTTTTTCATTTTTCTTTTGTATTATTACCAATATTTATGTAATTTGTAACTTATAAATTAAATAAATGCATAAAATATATCCAAGTATTCACTATAATTAATATGATTTCTTTAAATTTCAGCGTATATTAAGAATATTGTGTTTTATCAGATCCATAAATATTTTATTTTTTTTTAGTAATAAAATAACATTTTTTTACAATCTGTACATAATAAAATACAATAAGCAAATAGGTTTACAATTATAATAGTGACTTTGAATACATGAGAAGGGAAGCTATCCAGTGATAGGACCCTTTTGAGTTGAGACATTTAGGACATGGAGTGGTGTTTCAGTTTAGGAGGTCGCGACACCAACGTCTTTTGAGGCGACGAGGGGGGTTATCTGGAATATTGTGGCTGAGTGTTGATTTGCAATCAGAGGATTTGGATGATGAAGTAATTTGGAATGAAACTCATAAATATTAAAAGATACAATTATACGATTTTAATTTTGACTATGTATAAGAAGAATAATACCTACATTGAGATATAACGAAATATAGTTTTACGAAACACAAATTACAATTCAAAATTAAAATTGCTTTAAATTTCAATCGTAACAGTGATTTTATTTTTAAAGTATACATGTACGTGTGGCGATTATTAGATGTTCGTGATATTTCATTCAACCATTCAAGTATTTTAAATTTAAGTGTATGTAAATATTTTAGGTTATTATACTTACCTCGGATATCTATAATAGGTAATTGATTATTTCTTATAAGTCGTTAATTCGTTATTACTTTGTGTAATCTAGTAAGATTATTTGTTATTTTATCAATTGATTAACTTTTTATCATCTTAAAAAATATGACATATAAGAATTAGGATTAAATTATATATATTATGTAACATTTAGAGGTATCTTTATTTATTTATTTTTCATGTTACTATAGTCTATAATTATTATTACATACATTAATTCAATATTTATAGGCTTTTATTATTATTATACTATTGACCATCCAATGAGATATTTAAGGGGTTTTATGTATAGATAGAAGTCTCATAACTCGTGTAACATGCAATACTATATTTATCGTTGATTGTGGAATATATTGTGTGGATTAATAGTATAATTTATATTTCAAGGCAGCGAGCAGTAAAACGAAATACAAAATATTATATAATAACCTCAAGAATGTCCACGAATACAAAAAATATCGTTATTTGTGAATGATGGATTTCAGATAGAGCGCACGCTCGTATAATAATAATAATAATAATATTAATATGGTTTAAATTCCAGTTGTAGAATACTTATATAGTATACGTGGTATACGTGTTATTAAATTAAATGCACCGTGAACGGTATTTCATTGAAATCGAATTGAAGAAGACGAAACTCTACACCCGCTCTACATCCTTTTGCCGACGTGCGTATATTGTTGTTTTCGCGTGACAATACGCGATACACATTATACATTATAATAATATAAATAAATTATGTCTCGCCAATAATAAAAATAATAATAATAATAACATTATTATAATACATTATCTTCCTCCTCGCGTGTCTGGTGTCTCGTCGCCCGATATCCAGGCGTCTGGTCGAATAATCGGGAAAATTTTTTTTCACCACCATCTCGAAACCGCTGACTCGATAAAAATACGTCGGTGGCGGCATGTGGTCTACTRCCGCATCTGAYGACAGGCGGGTTGAGCGGGACACGGTCGGCGCGATGTACTGGAGACTCCGAGTCGTCGTTGCCGCCGCCACCGCCTTCGTTTAAGTATTTTAAAAACAAGATTTTCGCCTCATAATCAAAATGCACACTTTGATGAAGCTAATTAACTCCATTAGCGACACGACAAAACGATATATAAATACATATAACTATATCACATAATAGTTAATACCGACCATTGTTGTAATTTATTGCAGCTTTTCATGTTGTAATAATATACTGTGGTTAGCGGGTTGACACCTGCAGCCTTGCGAACGTTGACTTATACGGTAGACACGCTTTGTATAAATTTCATTTTTTTTAAAGATTAAACGCGCATAGAATACCAAATATAAAATGCATTAGCTTATATATTAATATACAACAAAATACTATTATATAGGTACCTTCTTATATATATTGTCTCATGTTGGTTAACACGGACTCGGATACAAGGACCAAACCGCACGAAACCTTTTGAAAAATATGAAACTACACCAGTTCCCTTATTTAATTTTCTTTAGTATCAAGTGTGATATTTTAAAGTAGATTTTTCCGGTTCTTAAGGGTTACTTTAATTTAATAATTTAATATTAAAATAAATGAAACTATTCAGGGGTTTATTTTAATATTAAAGTTAATCTTAAATGTTAATTTACATGATTTTAATTTAATAAATAAAATATACACATTTATAGTAACATATATTATAGACAAAATATTATATCGTATTTTATAATGACAACCAACATACCTATTATATGTTTGATATCATTCATAATTATAATATATATATATGCTCCTATTATACGAGTAAGTAATATGTTTAGAAAAAAAAAAATGAAATAAGTTATATACATAAAATATRTGACCTAATAATATATTTTAAAAAAGTCGACAATAAATACCGGTATTAATCGAAACAGAAACGCTTTAGTTCCTATAACTATGACTTATCTAAATCAGAAAAATAATTTTGAAAAACAATCGCCAAACTATTCTGTCTTGTAAACAATTTCGATGTAATACTTGCAAAATCATTCCTGTTTTATAGGTTTGAACATTACAGTACCAAAAGTTCCTCGCACACATCGACGAATGATTGAAATAGACTCTACCAAGACTCAACAATGTTAAAATGTATAACAATGACCATAATGTTTATGATAATGATGATAATAATAGTATTGAAAAAATATAGGTAACGTCATAATATAGCAGGACAGATAAAGACGCAAAATCGGTTTTAAATGGAAATATTGGAAGTGGAATATGGAGGAAATTTAGAAGACGAAGACGACGACTAAGGGGAGGACGTGGAAGAGAAAGGCGGGAAACAGAAGAAGAAAAATAAGAAAAAAGAGGAAAAGAAGAAACAGGAGACGTAAAAAAAAGAAGAAGGAAGCGCGGTGCGGCGCGGCACGTAGGTATAATGTACAGACGTGCGCCGCCGGGTCCAAGGGTGGTGGTGTGACGGTGGCGGGGGTGGCGGCGCGGTGTATAAATGTAAACACTAAACACACGATTTTTACACACGCACGCCAATGCTCTCGCGCTCACGGGGTACACARCCCAGCCGCCACGACACTCACGCGTCTTCGAACGACGACGACGACAAGCGCCAGAACGACGTCAAGTGCCAGAACAACGCGTGCAATCGCCTAAGCCACACGGACAGCGACACAATAACTACTACGATAGAACATTTGTGTTTGTGTTTTTTTTCGCAGTTTTTAGTTACCGCGTCTTCGATTACCGGTGCCCGTTGAGCCACTCCGAGCCCCATAAGTGTCCTCGAGACTTCGCCGCACGAATTTTTCGCAAACAACAAATTTGACGGTTTTCCGACACATCGCTCTCCATATCATTCACACTCTCTCTACCTATCTCTCACTATTTTTCCTCTATCTCACCATCGCATCCACACTGCTGTGGAGTAAAACAGTATAGTGATATACTATTTTTTATCKTCYGACGACATATTATTATATTATAATCTGCACAGTCGTCTTATAGCACATCGAAGACGATCGTCGCATACTCGCCATCATGATGACGTTGACTCCACGGTTTCTGGTAGCCATGCTATTGCTTTGGGTGGTTACCGTTGCGGTACAGTCCCGACCCGCCACCGACTCCGAAGAAGAGGAAATAGATGAGTCAGAAGAATCTCCCGAACCAAGGGTCATGATGGTTCCGACACGCCAGCTCTCCGATCCGAATTCGACGTTCAGCCGGATGCTTAACAGTCAGCTTCTTAAAATGTCCGAACGAGATCTAAAGGCCCTGGAAACGGGACTGGCCGGAACCAAAACCGAACCCGAACCTAGTGATGTCCATGACATGATGATGGGAGACATGCCGTCTGCAGACGCTGCAGATGATCCGCAGGACTCKTCGTCACCGGCTACCATATATGGACGAGGAACGGTGATGCCGGACGATTACACTGACGAAATTTTGCACAGAGAAAGGTAATATTATAACGCATCTATTCTATTTTGATATAATTACGTGTATATATATATGGCAGGTTGCTCGGAAGACAGTTTCCACATGCGTGGTTACCGCACGTGGTCCTAAATAAATTCGGGGTATTATTGCAGTTATTCATTGATATTTCCATAATGTTACGATGTCTAGTAGTTGGACAAAACAATGTTATYAGGTACACCTAGAGTAATTCGTTGAATACAATTGAACCGATTTTGTTATTCACGCTATTGCAACGTGTATAGGCTACAACAAGATTTATATGGTATACTGCACAGTGTATAATAGTTACCTGCATTACCCAATGGATTTCCTGATGATACAAGGTGGTGCGCTTTGCATCAAAACTGCGGACATATAAGTTTTTTTTATTAAGGGCATCAGTTTAAAAATTAAAGTTTTTTTTTTGGCAGGTGTCGAAGTGCGATGTAGGTATTGAATTTTTTTTTTATGAAAGGCATCCAATATCGTGGTAGTCGCACACCGGCACTCGGGCCTATATAACGATACAACTCTGGCAATTTAATTCCGTGAAACGTCTTATACATGATCGTCTGACCGACTACATTTCGTATTCTATGAATAGAACATTATTACTGTTTTCACGACCCATATCCCTCGTGTGTACACGCGCATTTATGTGGTTCAATTTTATTATTATAGTTAATACGTTTATTGGCGTATTACCAGTGTACCGTCACCGTCATCACCCTTGTTGGAAAAAGTTTTATTCTGCCTATCATTTTGACGGCATAAAATTTTATCTACGGTGACGGATTACTACGTTCTTTAATTTTTAAAACATTGTGCTTGCATCCATTTAAAAAACTTTAACGAACCGTGGAATTTACACGATTTAGTTTTCGGTTTGTCGCAAACACACTGATCTTAATCATATGTGGGCTCGTGTGTACATTGGACATACTAAATTTAGAGCAAAACCTATCTAGGCGTGACCAGACAATCTCGTAGAAAAAAACAAGAGCTTATTTCGATAAGAATAAAAAAAAAATGTTAATAGGGGAAATGCGCATAATATTTATATATTATACATAAATAAACGTTGGACAGTAAACAAAAATGATTAACGAGTATGTGTACTTATATATCACTCCAAGGCAAACAAACATTGTATTTCTTTTAAACTATCGTAATTTTACTGATGCCGTGGAATTAATTATATTTGAAGAAAAGCCACTACTAAAATATTGTATTATTAATTCCAAAAAATAAAATTGAATAAATATTTTTTATTCACATGCATTTTAGATAGAAAAGTGTGACTGGTAAATTCTGTAGTTTGTAGAAATATGAAACATACAAAAATTATGTATAAAACATGTATTCAAATTTTAAAATGTAAAACGTTTATGTGTAGAAACCTATAATGTTATTATTTTATCTCTATTTCTTCGTTAATATTTATTTTATAAATATGCTCAAAAATAAATCTATTCACGAATATATTGGATGATAATGTTATATGTATTATTATCATTATTTAACATAAAAACATATTATGATTTATAGCAGTCAATTCAATAATAACTGCTTTAAATAAATTTTAAATAAGTTGACCAATAATTATATAAATTACTATATTCTATACAATTACATTTAAAATAAAACATATTGAAGATATATTACAATAAAATGTGGTTAAACATTGTTAAGAAAAACTGATTCTAAAATATATGGCAATATTTACCGTCATTAATTATAAATTAACAAACATAAGACTTTTTAATATTAGTCAGTAGTCACTTATTAATCTACTACAGTTATTTATGAAATAATAAAATTGTAGGAATGAAAAATATTGAACCTATACGGCTAAACGTAGTTGAKAACGTATTTGTCATTATTTACTGTACGAAGTAAGTGTGTTTCAAGTCAATCTGGTTTCAAACCATGTCAAGTAATTTACTAAATAGTTTATTACTCATGAATCAACTTATAACTACATATCATATACATTATACCATGCCTAGTTTCTATAAAATAAAAATATTTTTTTATGCAAGGGAGAATACTGAATAGTATTAAAATAACTATAAAAATCAATCTTATAATAATATTATTAGAATTTTAGTGTATATACATTCCATTTAGTTTTTGCTTGTATACGAAAAAAATGTTTTATATTACTAAAAATATAACACTTTTTTACACAGTTCTGTTAAAATTTTTAACAAAAGATTTATGCAACTTATTTATTTTTTTTTAAAGCCTCTTTATATCATTATTGTTTAAATAACACGAGATATACTTATACTAGTATAATACTTTTAATTTTTKGAAAGATAAAATAACAAAATTGAATGTTTCTCTCGTACACAAATTTCATAAATATCAACCAAAATAAAATGAATTATGTAATTGTAATTTAAATGGAAACTCGTAAATTAATTCTACCTAAAGCCTAAAACATCCGGATCAGCAACGTTAGTATTTTTAAGTTTGTGCATTATTCATAAATAATTATATGTCTGGTTGATACTCAAAATCGATTTCCGTTGCAACACAATCTAATGGAATATCTAATTTACCGATTTCAAAATCATAAGATGTTAGAAAATATTCAAATTTTCTAGTTATCTAAAACAAAAAACTGTATAGTAATTATTGTAGCAGCGAAGAAATGATATTATTATAGTGCTTTTATACCTATATGTATGTATATRTATGTGTCATGTAGAATATACTATATACATATTATTAAAAGAACACAAATAATTTAAATTCATAAACATAAATAGGTGTGAGTGTGAGGTAAAAAATGTTCCACTTTACACGAAACAAAAAAACTGTTACAAATAAATGTAGTCTGATGGATTGAAGCTGTTAAATGATAATCTGTCTTAAGCGAAATTTATTTTTATTTTATTTTTTAATGAGACCCCAACAATCTCTAAATTASAAAATTATGTAGGGTAGGTACATGTGCTGCAGTGTACACGGTATAGGTACAGGTAATGTTTGACGATTACGCGTGTGTACGATTTAATTTTTTTTTCGTCTCGGCTCCTTAATTTATTCGTCTGGGTTATTATGTTTTTATTTATTTTAAACCGAATTTTAGGGGGAAATGCACTTGACGACTGCATTTCCAGACAGATTTTAATGCGTCTGCTCGGGCGTTTTTTAAACGATTACAGGTTTAGTTGGTTTCGGTTTTTATTTTTCGTTTTTGGTTTCGTTTGTGACCCGGTTAATAAATCGAAACAAAAAATCAAAATGAAAAAAAATAAAAACCTCAAAGTACACGCAAGTAAAGAGGTGTATTTACAATAAATCTGACTTGTTCTCTTGCAGCCGGTAATTGCGCGACGGTCTCGTTTAATGGGATCCGTCTACATGGTCTCCGGCCTTGGTTTCTCAGACGGAGCTTAAAACGTGACCATTAATATTTTATATCTGATTTATATTTGCTCGTCGCGATTAATAATTTTTCGCGTCGTATCGTATAAACACGGTAAAAATATTTTTTGGGGTAGAATATTATTATAATATAATCGAATAGTACATAATATTGTATCGCACGTCTACTACAATATTACTATTGCATTTATGTTTAATTTAATCGCTCATACTCCAATGAAATTTGTTTATTCACAGCCCCGAGTCTGCAGATCCCGAGGTCAGGTATGTTGATTCGTCGAYGTCGTAAGTGTGCGTGTGTTTGTRATTGTATTTTTCCTCTAACCTTATGTTTGTGTTAACTTTTATCAATCGTAGCTATTGTATCATTATTKTTATTGTTGTTATTATTGGTTTTATTGTTATTAATAACTGCATAATAGTTATTTGTTTGCTATATAGTTTTCGTTTTTTTGTTATTGTTGTTGTTATTGTTTTAATAATACCAAACACTGTTTAATTTGAGTGTTACTTTGTTGTTTTAGAGACAAAAATCTCAGAATCCAAACCATTCACAATCAGATGATCAACTTTATGGGGAGGAGTAACCAAGTGCTCTCGCCGAGCCCAATAATGAAAACGGATCCAAAATCAATAATACCTATTCAACAAAGAGATGCCATAAGAATATTTTACGACAACTTGAATAACTTTCCGACTTATCCTTCCGACACGTTTACTGAGAAAACGCAAAGCTTTTATCCTACCTGTAAGTAAAATTTGTATGTAAAATGTGTAATTTAGTACCACAATAACTGGAAAACTACCATAAACCATCACAGTATAACGTGTGATATAATATCTCGTGATTTTAATTATGCACAGGTGACGTGCCTAAGCACACAAATGAAGAGGTCTGGAACACAAAGGAGTCAATGAATTTAATGTTCAATATTAGTTTACCCAAGTCGTATAAGGGTATCACAGTCAACGTAAATATGGCTAGACTCAGGCTGTACAAACAATTCGTATCTTGTTATTCGCAATCGAGTAATGAGGTATGTATATATAAATTTGTTCATATTATATTAAAATATGAATTATACATTTTTTGATTTATTGATCAATAGACCGATGATTCTCAGCCATGTCAGCCGACATTATTTGTAGAAACCATGAAGCAATCCAACACTAATTTGTCTACAGCCGGTGTAGTACCGATAATAATGGACGAGACACAAATTCGTGTATCTATTTACATGTACACCAGATCACTTAAAAGAAAGAGAGGTAACGTATTTGAATGAGTATTATTATAATATTTTTTTTTAACTAACAAAAATTATCATTTAACAGTAAAGAGRAAGTTATTGGACAGCCGCATGGTGCCATATTATAGCGAGAAATGGACGGAATGGAACATTCGTAATGCAGTAAAAGCTTGGCATAGGAACCCAGTCCGTAATTACGGAATCAGTGTTGAAGTTGAAGACGAAGATGGCAACTTGCTTCCAGTCACCAGATTTTTCAGACCCATGAATTGTTCTGGAGACGCACAAATGAGTAATAATTTATTTATTTTGTAATCATAATAAGTAGTTAGCAAACAAAAAAAAAAAAAATTGATAAAAACATTGAATTTATATTTAAGTTCGTATGTAAAAATATTATTGGTAATTATATATATATATGTGTGTGTGTGTGTGTGTGTGTATTTACAAGGATTAAACTAATTTTCCTTAGTCAACTTTTGATGTTTACATTAAAAAATATACTTAATGTTCCTACGAGTAGATTATAGGCCATGCATAAGGGATAGTTTTGGTTTGAATATGACGTCTAACTTTTTACAAAAAAACGAAACAAATTTTCATGTTAACATACCCATTACTTTTTTAGTTTATTCATTTAAATCAGATAAAAAACAGCAAAATTAAAAAAAAAAAAACAAAAAAATCGACAAATAAAACGAGTCGTTGTGAGATTGTGTTGCTTGAAACGGTTCACCTCGTTCATAGCCATATGCAATATCCACGCGCACACTGAACGCGTCTTATATATTTAATTCATAAAATAATTCGATTGTATTGTGAAATGTTACAGTGACCCCAAAGCCAGTGCCCGGTTTCCTGATGGAGGCGGTGCACAACGGTTACGGCGTACCGGTTCGCAACCCGACCAACAACACAAACTCGGTTGACGCGCTMGCGCTCAGCTTCAACATGCACCTCTATCCGATATTGGACGTTACCACGGTCGAGGTACCGGACTCGGAGGCAAACAACGCTCTGCTTTATCAGTACGCAAAGAACGCGTTCGAACAGGTGGGTGGCAAAGTCGCGGGTACGGCGCCCTACTTGCCGGCGGGACAGGAAGACCAGGCCGCTGAGTTGCAGCACCGGATCAGGCACGGTAGCCGGCAGCACCGGAACAATGGAACCGTGCCTGGAAGTCTGTCTAGAKACGGACACGAGCTCCGCGATCAGATCATTCCACAAGGGATAGTCCAACGGAACTTGCAGTACAAGTCGACGACCACCGAGATTCCGGACTAATGGGAGCGGTGCCGGGCAACGATCAACCGCGGACACGCCAAATCTTAATACCTATATTATACGTGTGCACAGGTTGTTTCTAAAACATCGTATTTAAGCTCGTTGGCGTAAAATGAATCAGGAAAGGAGGGTGGCTTGCTTGGATAAACTTTATCCACACYTCCGACCAAGCAATATTATTTAACAGCAATCTTAATATCCTTGCGTATAATTTAAGCGATTTGAGTTTTTATATTTTGTTAATTTAATCTCATGGTTTATTATAAGCGTATTTATTTTAATATATATTATTTATTTAAAATTAAATGTACATATCTACCCCACAATAGCCGGATAACATATTTTTCGGTCTACAATTGAAAAGTTCACCCTGTATATGCATGTCTAATATAATATAATATAAGCCCAGTAATATAGTATGCTACGTTCGACGTCACTTTTTTGCGTGCACAAACAATTTTTATTGATATAACAAAACATCGATAGAGCCGCTGGGAGATCACAACTTCACTAGTATAAGTAACACGTCTTTGAACCGTGTCCGTTTTACTTAGGTCCTTACAAGATACGCACACTCTCAGATTTCTTTAATGACATGTATGTGCACTTCAAATCCAATTGTAATTTTTTTTTATGTTATATTTATTATTATATTGTTGAGGTGGAGGGACATAATATTATATAATAATGTATATGTACATGCGTATAGTGTGTCGATTGACAGATATATTTAGTATATAACTTTAATTTATATTATTATTATTATTATTATTATTATTATTACTATTAATTATTTTAATATTTATTGTACTAACACTACGTAAAATGTTCCTATAGTTTTTATAATTAGCGACGACCAATCTAAAATGTCAGATGTGTCTTTGGCCGTAGCCATTCTACATYGACACATCACTTACCTACACTTACCTATTTCATCCGTTACAAACGCGATCATCGGTGAAATAAACTCATCTCAATATTTTTTTTTCACATAAATACAATGACAATAATTACAGTATGTTATCAGTACCCGAACCATGGTCAGCATTTTTGTTAATTCGTGCCTAGATCGTACACACTATTCGTTAGAACGGTATACCAACTTCCTACGTATTATATATATTATTATATTATTTTATTCGAGTTTTAGTAATTTATTACATTTTGTTGAAATATTAATTTATTATTTCGTACGACCGTTACGGAGTTCTTTTTTTAAAGTTTTTTTTTTATACAACTAAGGTATTTATAGTAATATTATTCACCGGAATATGCACAGATATAGGTACCCCAAATGTACGTGTGTTATTATGTATTATTTGTTAGTGCGCATTATATAATATTACTATTGTTCATCTCATCTAGTGCGCCGCAATGTCTGCGGACATSCGTATACTATAATAAGTCGCCGCATACCTCTATCGACAACATACCTAATATTTCTACTGTTAATTTATTAATTTATTAATATTTAAGTTTTTTTTTTATTTTTGTCTTATTTAGTATAACGACGTGACACATTCGTGACGACGTGTTAAGACATATACCTATTTTATAAAAATGCTTCCTAACAAAAATGTATCCTTTTACATACTGTAAATACTCGCTGTACTTTGTTTTATTTATATAGATATATCGCATAATATTATGTGTATGTATGTGTTTTTTAATAATTTTTTAAAAAATATATTTAAATATAATTATTATTACTATCAACGAATAGTGCTGTTTTATTGGTCGTAATCGACATGCGTGCAATACACTTTCACAGTTAACAAGTAGCTACATGGCATACGTATGTAGATGCGTTAGTCCTTGAGTACAATGTTCGAAGAGCAGTGCTCAATATGCTCACTTAAGTACCGACTGTTACGCTGAGCGAGTACCTAGTCACACAGATATATAATATCATGAGTTAGTGTGTTTCGGCGACCGGATGAATCGACGTGACAATTTCATATAATATTATAAAGTTCGTTTAAATTGTTTTTCTTACGCGTTAACTGCAACAGCTTTTATACGATCATAATAACCGATGACCACATATATCCGAAAATAACTAAGGTAATAGTTTAAGATATTAACAATCATATTACCACAACATAATATACTATTTACTCGCGGAAATGTCAAAGATTCACTGAATTATTATAACATTGTATATTAGGCAGACCAGCTAGATAGACATTTCATTTTTCGTTTTGATCGAAAATTAAAAAAACTAGTCTCGTGTGAAACACCGTAAAAAATAATGGAACTCGAAATACTTATACCTACATAATATATTTAATTTATTTTATATTTAGTCAATAGAAACTGAATAATATGTTCACCAAAGTTTTAAAAGAAGAAACATTCATTTAATAATTAGAAAATACATGCATATACCTTTATATTATATAGTGGTATATTCTATGGCAGTACACATTTCTGGTTTATAGTTTTTTAAGTTTCCATTTGCGCAATTTTACTATTATTTAACTGAATGTGTTATATGAATATTTTTTTTTAAAACAAGCAAAATCAGTAACAACTAAATTTGTATATCAGATAAAGTAACAATGTTACACATAAAATTAACATTMATTTTAGATACAACTATTCACGTACTATAATCTATAAGTACTATGGTCTTTTTATTGATTTATGTCAGGTAACTGTTGTAGCCGAAATACAATGTACATTTTTGTGTGACTTAAAAAAATAAATAAATTCTAAAATAYGAATAAAACTTTAAAACAATAATAGTTCTATTATTAACAATAGATTTATGCCACTAGACTTTTATCACAAAATTAATTTTTATCTCGTTGTTATCTATAGGTACATCATTATGAATTTGAGTCTGCTGATTCAAAAATAAGTTGTTTTTTTACAGAATATACGCAGTGACGGGTAGCCGCCAGGTAGATGACTGTCTTCAAATTGAGTAAAAAAATCCCTAAGAATMACAAAATTTACCGAAATGTTGTATTCTATAGACATTAATGTATAATATTACCCTAATCTGCGATGCCTATGTATATAAATAGGTAATATGTATACGCTCTAAATGCTGTATTCTTATTTGTCATGTGTTATATTAATTTTAGTAGTAACTATTAACACTATTCACTTGCCCCGCAACTTCTTTGTGTAATACAATATTTATAACATTATTACGATGTATTATGGCGGTACGATKAAAAAAACGAACCTTGCTGAGCGAATTTGCTTATAAAATAAATATTACATACCAATGAAACCACGTGATTATAATATTATTGTAGGTAAATAATAATAACAGAGTCTACTTACTACTTGAGTATTTAGATAAAATATTATTTCCATTACGTTCCTCGTGCGCGCACTGAATGTCGCAATGCGCACAGTATAATTTATTTTCGAACAGGTAGGTACTTTCATAATATACAACCATAATATTATTTTTTCCTGTCGGTAAACATATTAATATAATTAATATAGGTATATCATCTGTGCTATAGTCACTTCATGTTGACCGGTTTTGGGTTTCTTTTCGATCTCTCGTAGGCCAGTGTACGTCATAATCCGTTTTCGTACTATTTTCCGTCGAGTGATCGTTTGCAGTTTTTAATGATCCTATCAAAACCTGCACACCAATGGCGCTAAATAAAATATAATTATATAAAACCATTAATAGAATCCATAAAAAAAGTGAAATCAAATAATCTTTTTAATTATGCTAAAAAAAAATTCTCTGGGGGTTGGGATCACTGTTGCCTGCACTTCATCGGGTACGCCATTGACCATTACAGCATACCTCATAATGCATAATATTATGTTATTTATTTTTAACATTCGCCGTCAGAGCTCAGAGCAGTATAAAAAAAATTGATTTATTTGACTGAATTATGATGTACCCACATATATACATATTTTAATTCATCAGAAGTATTTTTGTCGTTCRAGGAAAGAGTATAATAATATTATTACAATCTTCAATCATCACGCGTGACTAATTATTACCTACACCTGTTTTCGCAGAGTTGAACAAAACGATCGTTTCTCACACGCGCAAATGAGCTACACAGCTTTTTATCTCTCCGAGTTATCTCTTGTTTAAGAGTGTTAAGACACACAAATATATGTATATAATATGGTATATAGAGTATTGACAGGTGATATTATTTAATATAAATTATGTGATGTAGCTACTTGCTACTTGCATACTCGTACTTCGTCGATTCATTTGATTGTTTGTTTTTATTCTCCAAGGTCGTTTCGCGTAGTAGTAGAAAATATGTGTGTCCACAAAACAATACTTTATCATTTTAATATTATGTTACTATAACATAATGATTGTATGATATTATACAAATTATAGGAAATTTTCTTCATACGTTTACTTAGAACCGTTGGAAATATAATTGATAGCAGTTACGACGCGACTACGGATTACAATATTTGTAAAAACCTTATAGCGTTTATTGTAATAACTAATAATGGTAATAATGTAATCATTATAATAAGTACTTAGCTCAAGTGCATAATTATTGTGCTAGGAATTAGGGTCCTTTTTCTTTCGGTTTTAATTATTCCAATGTTTGGTACCTGATTGGTATATTCGTTTATCATGATAATATTATGTYATAGATAAGTATAGCTATTTGCTCATTAACTATATAGATTTAAATAAATTACCATATTTTTMATGATTTGAATTTTTTTATAACTTTTGTATGTTTAAAAATTGGTACACCTAATATAATATGTATTATTTTTCATTATACAAGAATTAATAATTAGCATATGCATTAATATTTGAAATATTTATATAGTTATTGAAGTGGGTATATAAGGTATATCAGATAAAGTATATTATATTAGACAGAATACTATAATTATTTTTAATGTTGACAAAAAAACATAAATAGTATGATATATACATATAATTTCAAAATTTTCTAAAACCTCACTGGTCACATTGAATTAAATATTTTTAAAGACAAACAATACAATTTTTTAAGAAATCAACGTCATGTTTTCGTGATATCATCGCGGAAATATTATAATCTTTTTCTGTTATCATTATCCAGTAGGTATGTATGACACATTGACACAAAACACCTWGGTGGGTATATAACATAACCTATTTATATTCAAACAAATATCCATAAAAGYGCATTAAATTTACTAAGAATCATTAAAAATATATATGTTCTCGTTTTTCTGTCTAATACCATAATATATCGTAATAGGTATATGTATATTATATGTTATGTATATTATAATATTGAGTTTCATATGACTTGACGTGTCTGGTGATACGCCGATATTACATTATACAACTATTATTCTATAAATATTTTTAATTACATTTGGCGCGAAACAGATGCTTAATATATTCATTGCCTATTAACAATAAATTATACTATATTTTACTAGTATTAAGCAATAATTTAGCAAATTAATTATATATTTATATTCTTTAACTTTAAATTAGTTTTCGAGTTATTACTATATGCTTTTCAATTTCATTAATCGTATTAATACGAGTATTCTGTTGAGAAAAAACTGACATAGGACACTTTTGGTAATCTTCTAGAAACAAATATTTCATAAWAGGTATCAATTGGAAAATTTAAAAAAAAAACTGTACCTAACTGAGATAAATTCCATAATATTTAAATATTGAAGGGTAAGAGCATAAAATATCATATTATTAAGAACTTTACATTTATACCTATACATACAATAATTACTTTAGCTCTATACTCACAATGATTAAATTTTTCTGAGCTTCAAAAAGTGATTGCATTTTTTTTTTAATATTCTTATAATATTATGAAATATTTAATATATAGTTTTCTTTATATTACAGATTGAAAATTGTATTTTTAGTTATTTAATAAAAAACAAAAATAAGTATTTTACATATTAATTAGCAAATTTTTTGTTAAGGTGATATTCTATCAGACAGTAAGTCTGAACAGGTTTCACATATTTTATTGACGAATCTTGTTTAACCATTAAAAACCCATTCATTATTTTAGTGTGTCCGATTCTTCAGAGTATTGATTTTACTTTTTTTTTATTTAGGATTTTGCCATTCGTGAATAGTTTTGTAGTTGAGTAAACTGTAAATAATATACGTTTATTCAATAGAATAGCACCGTTGACTCCTAAAACAACAYACTTTTAATAAAGTACASAACAAAATCGCACATTTTTGGTAGGTTAAACCCACACACATTTCATATAGGTTAAAATCGCACAATTTTTAAAATTGTTTTATCCAAAAACCACACATTTTTAATTTCGACCCCAAAAGGTTATACTTACCTATATTAGATATAGGTACTTTACTAAAAAAAAATGTATAAACAAGTATTCAAATTTAAAAAATTTAAAAATGTATTAAAACAAAAATATGCATTTATACGAGTATTCTCAAAAGTAAAAGTAATAAAACTGCATTCAAACACAAATTTAAAAAAATTTGAAAACGTAAAGTGCGTAAAATTTTTAAAGTTTGATTGACTGAAATTACTGGCATTTTTTAAAAAGTTAGTCAGTTCTGAGTTCCTACACTAATCGTATATCTGTGATTATTGGAATAATATATAATTATTTAAATTACTAATATACGCATTTACCCTATAATTTTTTAACTTTTTTAKTTGATATTTTCTTTGAACGATACATACAACGTATATATTGATAACTGTAAGAACCGAATAAGTTTATAGTTTTAAAAAAAAACATTAGGTGGTACTTTGACATTTTAACGTGAAGCTGATAATAGTTATACGAACGAACCAAATTTAAACTGTAATAATATTTATTTATTACAGTTTATCGTGTAAGCTGTATTTGTACCAGTATCACTGTACATTTATATACATATTATATATATATATATATATAATATAATATATATTTTTTTTATTAATTTTATTTAGATGAGAAAAATTACAATTCCTTCATAATGTAATTTTTTTCTACAATTTTCACGAAATACTGACGCATCGATGCGAAGTTTATAAAGTCCAACCGTATTAATAAACCGTAAGTATGCCTAATAAATTAATAATAATAATAAAAAAATATTAATTTAATTAATCAATTTTGCTTTATGTTCAATTGATCTAGATTAAATTCACGTAACTCAATTGTTTTAGTAATTTTAGATTATTAAAATATTAAAATAATAAACATTAAAATAGAGTAAAAATATTCTATATAATTAATGAGCACTATAATATTATGCGGATGACACAATACCGTAAAAAWGTAGCCTCAAAATAATTATCCTTGTTATTTCAAATTAATAACAAAAATATTTTAGCATTTCAAAATGGAAATTATTTTACCGATTTTCGGTTATAAAATTATTGACAAATTACTTTAAAACTKAACTTATTCATAAAACGTCCGTGCGTTTTACGTACCTATGTTGTGTGTTCACATATTTGTCACTCATCAGGCGAGTTATAGTATATACAGAATTGATTAAATCAGGCACTATCGCAGAACTTTTCAAAATTTATTGTGTTTACTAAAATCGATAGAACATGTGTACTGTATACACAGAACTCGTTAGTCAGTATATAGATAACATCGGAGTTAAATGGTTATCCAAAATTTTGCGTCACAAAACCGGTGTAGTTCGGCGGGGATTACATTTTATGAAATCCCCACCAATTTTTCAATGTAGAATTTGAATATTACTTTTGTGTTCACAGTGTACACTGAATACTGATATCAATCACTGCAGTTGAATCATTAATTATTATTATGCTGTTATAATATCAAATTAATATTTATATAGGTGTAACATATTCTG